AAAAGCCCTGCACTGAAATGACTTAAAATAAGCTCAGGCCTTGATGATACTCTTACACTGAGACTTGCTGGGAACTGGAATATAGAAGCCACGCTTAGCCACTTGGCAAATTCTCTACTATATCAAGACACTCTTCCTCTAGATGATAAAAAGTTCTCCAACTTCAGGGATTCCCAAGTTACTAATTTAAAGTTTCCAGAGTTTAGTTACCCTTTCCCTCCTTTAACCTATGTATTTCTGTCTAATAGCATAGGCTGAACATCACTTTCTGTTAACAGTACAATAAACCATCTAATCTATGTTGTATCCAGTTTGGAAGTTCTTTGGTTTCAAGCCATGGCTCATACAGAATTAATCAGTACCTTATTTTACTAGTCCTCTAACTTGAAGTTCTATACATCATTTACTTAAAATCACTACAAATTAAAGTGTTACAACTAAGGTTACCTAAAAAATGAACAGAAACAAGACAAGCTTGGAAATGAAAAACTTACACATGAGAGTCTAATTTCCATCAGTCAAAGTGCTAATGTAAATGGTTATTTTTTTATCTTGGAGCAAATTTCCAATCTTTAAGTATAAAGACTCCTTTTTCACAAAAAAATATTTCATAGATCCTCCCACTCTTCCTTTTTGTATATGTTAAGAAATACATCGTAACTAATGGCTGCTAAGAATTAACATTTAAATAAAACTGTATCATATCCATCACAATAGCATCTCTTATGTCTTCCAAATGAACATACACATCGAGTGTATTATTTCATCTACACACAAGCTGGGCATATACTAAAACCTTTCAACAGCTTACCAAAATATTGAGCACGGCCACAAATCCTTGTGTAGTCTAGCCCCTGCCCAGTTTTTCAAACCTCATCTCCTGCCTCGCACTTTCCCTCACTCTGAATCCTAGCCTCTGTAGCCTTCTAGCAGTTTCTTAAAAATTCTAAGCTCCTCCAAAGCAAGGACTTTGTACCTGCTTTTCTCATTGTCTGAAATGTGCTTCTCTCTACCAGCTCCACCTGGTGCCTAGTTAGTTCTCAGAGATCAAGTATCATTTCCTCAGGGAAGCCTTACCTAATCTCTCTGCTCTGTATCCTCACAGCCACATTTAACTTTTATTCATAGTAAGAGCTATATCATTTTGATCAAGTCACTTAACCTTACTATGCCTATAATATAGGCATAAGGGTACCTTGTGAGATACAAGGTTATTGTATGGATTATATAACACGTAATGTGCTGAATCCTATGGCTGGCAAATAGTAAGCACTCAATTAATAGTAGTTTAAAAAAACTATCCATAGAACAAAGTCCCTAGAAAGGTGTTTCTCTCTCAACTGTACAAGAGAGAAGAAAAAGAGGAAAGAACAGGGAAGGATACAGATTTTTAGATCTGGTAGCAGCAAGACGAGGTAGTTTCTGCCTGCTGACATCAGTTTTCCCTGTGAAATGGCGGGGTGAGGTCTTCTGGTGAATGAGTGAGGAGGGTCTGTCCTGGGTGTGGGATGGGGATGGGGGTAAGAAGTTAGTGGCTGGAAACCTGAAGATAATGGAGAAAGAACCATTTTAGAGAACAAGAGAACAGGAGAACTTCCGGGGCTGTCGACACTGAATTTATAGCATTATCGATCTGAGAGACTATAGATATTTTTCCAAAGGTATTGAGAAGCCCAGATGCAGGCACAGAAAAGAGAGAATCAGGGATTCGGAAATGGTTGGCGTTTGCTAGGCAGGCATGATGAAAGGACAAGGAACAGGGGCATCTGAGGTCTTGACTGGGGAGTGACTGAAATAATGGACCATGGATTCTGGGCTGCAGAGAAAAGAGTGAAGACAGAGTGAGTGACTAGGTAGGTTAACTAACTAAGTAAATAAATCTAAACACAGGGAGAAAAGTAGAATGGTCAATGGCCTAAGAGTCTCAATTATGTTGAAGAACAAACACAGTGGGAGTAACTAGGCAAGCAACATTAAGAATCGAAGACTGGACTCAGAGAGGGATGTCTCAAGTTCTCACTTAGTAACTTCAGAGGCCCTGCAATTTTTGGTGATAAGGTACAAGGTGTGACAGTGGGAAAGGCTGCTGAAGTAGAGTGGAAGACGTCATCAGAGGTGAAGAAATCAAGAAGCTGAGAAGCCCAGGGTTTGGAGATTTTTCCTCACAGAAACTGAAGTCACCTAAAACAGCGGCAGGACTTGGCACATAGAGATGGGTTATGAGCTGTGTGCCAAGGTCTTCAATGGCCAAGGAGGGGTGTCTGTGAGGGCAGCCAATGATATCATGGAAGGGTTTTGAAGTGAATGAACAGAAAAACCGGTTCTGAAATCTTACCAAGCCCTTCTTGTTATAATCTTTACTCTCATTTCTTTCCAGGATTTAGGTGGCTCTAATTTCTAACACTTACTTTCCAAATCACAGATGGACTGCCAAGGATCTTCCATTTTGCTCCAGGATTTTTTCCCTGAGCAGTAAAGATTTCAACAAATGCACCTCCCTAGGGAAAAAAAATATTAAAAATTAAAGTGAAAGACAATGCTAAGGAGGAAATACTATCCACCACATAGTCTATACCCATTGTTCCAGGCATCTGTAAGTTAAGTAGATTTGAGAGGAAACATTATCCCTCTTATCACTCCTACTTTATATCTTGATTGTATCTAAGCAGCAACTGTTCTGATTCAGGTCACCTTGGATTAATGGTTTAAGAAATGTTTTTAAAAGCATGATAAACATTAAATAAACTCCATGCCATACAAACCTTACAGTCTCTCAGTGTAAGGTTCAGTTACTTCACATGTATAGTTCATGCTTACAAAATATTCTATTCAACACACACTAATGGGTTTAAACTCAACTCTCAAGCCAGGCTAATAAAATCTGATAGTTATCTCTGGCTACAAGCTTTTTAGTTACACTAACCTGAGCTCCAATACCAGGTTTGCCATTTATTAACTATCTGACTTTGGCGTTACTTAACCTCTTGATTTTCTATCTGTAAAATGGGTTGTTAGATTACATAGGATAGTGAACATAAACCACCACACTCAATAAAGTGTGATGCACAAAGCAAGGGCTCATTAGTACCAGCAATGATTATTCAAAAAAAGGGCAAACTGGATAGTTTAGTACTGGGTCAATAAAAGAAGCCTGGACTTGGAGAGGGAGTGATTCTTATTTTGAGGCTTCCTATAAGATCTTTTTATATATTTAATACAAATTAATTTGGTGATCTATAAAATATGTACCAAAAAAATAGGGAATCATTTCCATAGACATGCTAAGTGTTCCCTATTGTAAACCTGGGAACATGGAGGGACATGCTCATGTAAAAACACTAAACACATTACTGAGTGTCCATATGCTTTAATTATAAGAGAGGAATTAAAGATGATTGTCTCTAAGGAAGAGTTTATTGCAAGAAACTGAAAACCTGAAATGAGAGTAAATATGGTTCTCTTTTATGGCCTGTTAAATTATAAGCAGCACATGAGCAAATCTGTGTGACTTTCATAAAGAATTTCCTGCTTTTAATTTTTCTCAATAATATAAAGATATTTCTGCTTCTGAGTTTTAACAAGTAATCACTTGAAGGTAAGACATTTACCATCTTCTGTAGACAGTACTACGTGCAAACTGTGTGTGGAATTGAATTACTATAGCTTCTGGGGTCAGGTCATATTTCACTATGAATTTTAAATGTGAGGAAGCTTTTTCTTTTTTTTTTTTTAAAGAGAAAAATCCTTATACCTGGTGAGATAGAAAAATACCTCCCCCGCCCCCATTTCTGCTATCACCTGTTTCCCACAGTAGACACCTGCTTTTTTATAACAATATATTTTACCTATATTAAGCAAGAGAAACTCTCTAAAACTGTTCCAACAGATTTAATGACATCAAACGGAATAGAAGAAAGAGAACTGCAGAATACCCCGAGGGCACTCATAAGAAGGCAGGTAGTATTTGATGAAAACGTAGAAGCAACGAAGAGATGACCAGTGGAGGACTGCTCCGGCACAGGGACGAAATTGTTCGTAACAGCAGTACTAGGATAGCAGACAGACTGTAAATGGAGAGTGTAACCTCAGGTAGAGGTAGGAGGGGAGGTGAGAGACTAGGGTCAAGCAAGATCAGGGAGGTGCCCAGTGAAGTGAGGAAAGCAGGAGCGCTTTGGAGACCCTCTAGGATACTCAAAGTGACTGAGGAAGACCCAGAAGCAGTTTCCCTCAGTGTGGTATTTAGACCACCTGCATCAGAATCAAATGGAGAAAGGTGCTATAAAGGTAATTTAACTAGCCCCATCAACAGAGATTCTGATTCACTCTATTTGATGTGAGGCTCAGGAAATCCGTATTTTTACAAGTACTTGTATTTTTACAAGTACTCCAAATGATCTTAATGTACCACAGCCTTTGAGAATCACTGACCCGCCCCCAATTTGGGGGGAAAAAAAAACAGCACACGGCCAAAGTGCTTATTTTCTTTCTTGGCTTAACCCATTCATGCATTCACTCGTTCACTCTCTGCTAAATAGCTTCTGTGCCTAAATACCAGTGTGCCTCAGTACTGTTAAAACTCAAGGTTTATGGGTCCTGCCCTTAAGGTTCTGATTCCGGAGATCTGGTTGGGGTTTAAGGCTGCATTTCAGTCAGAAACACAGGGAATCCCTACACCTTGAGACGCACGGAGCTGGAGAGGGAACGTCAAATCATCTGCCCACACGGCAGTTGCTTTCTTTTCTTTCTCTTTTTGGGTCAACACCACTTATCCACTAGTTCCTTCTTACCCCGAGAAAGACAGTATTACTTGTGGGGGGGGGGGGTTCCTCTTCACCCGGACGTGAGCTATCTCACCGAACAGTACAAAGCTAGACCGGGTGGAGAGCCGTTTCCGGTTACCTGGTACTCATTTTTGAACATTCCCGCCGGGGGCTCGGGGCTTGAGGGTCACCGGAATTCAGGGCTTCCAGAGACTAGCGTGACCCTGACGGCTGGAAATCGGCGGGCGGGAAGCCAGGGCTCGACGGGCGGGGAAGGGCTTCGTGGTCGGCCCTAACTCGGCCAGGTTCTTCTCCGCCCTTTGTCAGCTCCACCTCGGGCGCCCGACCCGAACCATCGCGGCCCCGCCTCCGGGACGCCGGAGTGTGGGAGGGGACAGCTGCCTGGGCGGGCTCCGGGCGGCCCCAGGGGACTGAGCGTGTGCGTAACCTACGTGACAGAGAGCCCAGACGCAAACCTCCGACAACCTCCCTTCTGCTCAACGGAGAAAGGCTGGCGCGTTCTCGCCGCCGCTCAACCCCGCCCCCGAATCCGCTCGGAAGAGGGCCGAGCGGGGCGTACGTTCCGACCGCGCCCATTGGTTCCCACGAGGCGCCTGCGCGTGGCGCTGGACGAGCTTCACGCCGACGGACACGTGAGACTACGCAGTGACGTAGGCGTTGCCCAGGTAACTGACCGTCTTTCGCTCAAAGGGCGGGACGCCGAACCTGTGACCAGCACCCGCACTAGGTCGTGACCTGTGTCTGCAAAAACGCCTAAACTTAACCTGGCTTAAGAGCTACCACAGGTGCTGGATTCTTCTAGAAAATCTGTCACGTCGGCTTGGTCTGTCTTCGTTGTAAACACTGATAACTGGTAGGTTGCTGAAGGAAATGGAGTCGTGGAATCATGGAACCCTCATGGAACCTTTCCCTCAAGGTTCCCAAACTTGGCTTCGTTGAGGCACTGATAGGGTCCGCCATCCCCTTTCATTGTTTCAGAAGGCCCAAGGAAGGTCACTGCACGCTTCAAAAAGCCAAGGTTTTTGCCCAAAGTAATAACTACATACGTTATTGAGCCAGGCGCTCTCTTAAGTTTAACTGGTTCTGTGTCTGAACCGCTCTTACAATGTAGGTATTATCGTCCGTTTTTGGCTAAGAAACTGTAGCTCCGAAAGTTAAAATATTTTGCCTAAGCTCGCATGGCCAGTAAGTGATGGAGCTGGTTTGGAGCTCGTACCTAACTCAAAGCTGAGTTAGGTCAGTGGCTCAGGGTTAATCAGTAGTCAGGTACCACTCCTGGAGCCCCTGCCATAGGCCAAGTGGTTCGCAACCCTGTGAAGTAAGGGTTAGTCTCCTTTCAGTTGAGATCACTGAGGTTCTGAGTTGATTAGGAATTTACTCAAGGATGCAGTGTTGATTTTTAGTTGTGGCACCATGGATCATGTACAGGATGAGAAAATGAATGCTTTCTGGACCTGCTTCTTGTCAGGGCTAAGGAGGAAAGATAAGGAACAAATTTACTTGAATACACTAATACTGGATGTGTACAAGATAGAGGTGGGGCTGTCACATAGCTGTAAATTGCAGTACAATATCTAGAATTCAGACTTGGTTTCTAGAGCTCAAACCTAGTTCAACAACAGTTTTTGGCAGGACTCTGCTGGGGGCTTTGGGAATTATGGTCAGCAGACATGGTGTCTATCTTGTTATCTAATGGGGGACATTTATCCATCCATGCATTTAAGAGATAACTCTTAGGAATTCAGTATATTCCAGACACTATACTAAGAGCTAGGTGTATAGGGAAGGCCCCCCATCTTCGTGTAGCTTGCATATTCATGGGGCAAGGCACAATAAAGAAGTGAACAAACAAATAATTACAACTTGTGATAAATGCCATGGATCCAGTGGTAGGAATTAACATTGGAGGGTATATTAGTTTCCCGTGGCTGCTGTAACAAATTGTCACAAGCTGGGTGGCTTAAAACAACACAGATTTATTCTCTCACAGTTCTGGAGGCTGGAAATCCAAAATCAAGGTGTCAGCAGGGTAGCACCCCCTTTGGAGGCTTTGTAGGAGAATCTGACCTTTGCCTCTTCCATCTCTGGTGGCTATTGGTGTCCCTTGACTTGTGGCTGCATCTCTTCAATCTCTGCCTCCATAGTCACAGTGCCTCTTCCTCTTCTGTGTGTGTCTTTTCCGCTGTGTGTCTCTTAAAAGGACAGTTGTGATGGCATTGGATAATTCAGGGTAATCTCCGTATTTCAACATCCTTAATTACATCGCAAAGAGCTTTTTTGCCAAATAAGGAAGCATTCACATGTTCCAGGGGGTAGATGTAGATATCTTTTGGGGGGGGGGAGGCATAGCATTTTTGGATGATGCAAGTCAACACAAAGGATGACTTGCACTATAATATAAAGTAGTCTTTCATAAATACTATAAGAGTGGAAAAAAGTACAGTGAGAGTACAGGAGGAATCTAGGGAACATCCTAAGGGTTTTAACAATGTACTTGAGTCTCTGAACGTATTTTGACACCACAGATGAAGAGAAACCCTGAACCTTTGTCCTATGCTATTTTCTTTCTACCCCTCATCATTATATGAATTTATTTATTTGTTTATCATCTATCTTCACCTGTTAGAAGGTAAATTCTATGAAGGCGAGGACTTCTGTGTTCATCATTATTTCCCATGTCCTAGAGTAATGCTTGGCACATAGTAGATATTTTATAAACACATATTTGTTGATCAGATTAAAGGCACCTGTCCTTTTGAACTCACCATGTCCAAAACAAAACTTCTCCACACATGCGCCTTTCCTATCTTTCCCAGTCTCACGGATATCACAGTGCCTCCTGCTTCCTCACTAGCTGCAATGGGCAGCCTCTAAAATGGCCCCCAGTGATCTCCATCTTCTGGTAGGCATGCCCTTTGTGTAGTCTTCTCCCCTTGGGTATGGACTGAACCTAGTGACTCACTTCTTAGGAATACAATATGGCAAAAGTTCCGAGATGTTATTTCCATGATAAGGTTGCAAAAAGACTCTGATTTCCTTCTTGCTTGCCTGCTTTCACTCTGATATCCTTGCTTGCTCTGGTTTTTCCCCCTCCCATCCCCCAGCTTCCCCAGTCCTCACTCTGAAGGAAGCAAGTTGCTGTGTTAGCCCCTTGGAGAGGTGCAGGTAGTAAGGAACTGATGTCTCTGGCCAACAGTCAGTGAGGACTTGAGATTTGTCAACAGCCACATGTGTGGGCTTGGAAGTGACTCCTTCTCTGGTTGCACCTCGAGGTGACTGCATCCCTAGTGGACACCTTGATTGCAGCTTAGTGAGCCTGGGTCAGAGGCACCCAGCTAAGTCATACCCTGATTCCTGACGCACAGAAATTATGAGACAATTATTGTAAATTGCTAAGATTTAGGGTAATTTTTTACACAGCAATATATCTACTGCTAATATACTCCTCATACTCAATCCATTACCCAAACCTATTCATTTTATCTAAATAATTTAAAAGTCTATCTACCTTCCCTCCACTGTTATCTCTACTCTGATCTACCTGTAATCTTCTCTGAACTACTATAATATCCTCCTAATTTACACACCATGTCAGCCACCTTTCAAATCTATCTCCACGTTGCAGTCAGTCATCTTTATAAAACACAAATTCAATCATATCGGTCCCCTGATTCTAACCCTTTTGTGACTATAGAGCCTGTCTTCCTCTCCAGTTTCTTTGTACATTATGTGGCCCCCTTCATTTTAGTAACATTGAGTTTTCTTATAGTTCTTCATGTATAACATGTTTGCTTCCACCATAAGGCCTTTGTACTGATCTCTTGCATGGATTACTTCTGCCCCCTTCTTTCTTTGGTTAAGGCCTACTTATCCTATAGAGTTTACATCAAGGGTCCCTTTCTAAGGGACTCCTCTGATATCCCTGACTAGATCAAATCCCCGGTTTATATGTTCTCATAGCATCTTAGCTCTTAGTATTATTGAAATCATTGTTGAAATTTTATATGTCTATAATATTGGCCATCTCTAATGGACTGTAGATTTCAAGAGAGCAGGGACCATGTCTGTTTTGTTTACCCTTGAATCCCTAGTGCTTGGTATACTACTTCAACTGTGTACCTGGCATAAGAAAATAGTAATTGAATGAATGAGTGAATGAAAGTGGGAGGAGGTGAAAGATGAATATATTCTTAAAAGACAGCCGTAGGTTTTGGTGTTGAGAAAACAAAGAAAAAGCAATTGAAAACATATTAATAACCTCAATTTATTGATAGAAAAACTAGTTACAGAGTTGAAGTGATTAACCACAGTGCATCAGTAAGTCTTATTACTCAGGTGTTTTGTTTTAAAAATGACCTATTTATTCAATTTAATGCTGGAAAGAACCAGTAAAATTTACTTCAGTCTCCTTAATTCCTTGAGAGAAAGGATTGTCCAAGGCCCAGGTGTCCAAGGGTTGGGTCATCTCCTAATCCTCCTAACTCATAACAAGTTCAGGAGACTTACATGGATTTTCATTAGCAAGTGTGGTATCGGGCCTGTCCAGGCATAGGACAACTCTGAAGGCAGCCCAACTTAGATCAAAGTTGTCTTGTCTATGGCGAGAACTACCCTTAACACTGACAGTGGTGGCTATAAAGCAGAAATAAGCATGTGCCCTACTTTAACAATATGAACTCAAAAGCAGAGGTAGGAAGAGATTTGATTTTATAATACCAAATACTCTTGTTTGCTGTGGGTGAATGCAAGCTGTGACCAAAAACTTGGATTTGGCTATGACTTCAAGAATGGCTACTAGAATTCAGCACCACCCACTCACCCCCACTCTCAAACCCCGAAAAAAGCCAGCCTGCTCAAACAACTTCGCTTAAGCCAAGTTTTTTATGTACATTATAAATGGCAGTGAAACAGTTTCTCTAATTGCTACAATTTTTAAAGAAGCTGGTACAATTAGTAATTGCATTAAATTGCTTAACTTAATTTGGCAACATTAAGACTTAGTCACTTTATAAGCTTTAAAGTGCTTGTCTTTGTTCTACAAAGAAAGTAATTTGGCGGTGTACTAATATTATTAAAGGATATTGGATAGTATTTAAAATGGAATAGACTAGAAACAGTTTTAAAGGGTGACAGAGTCTTTGTATGACAATGTAGTCATTCAAGTTAGATAATATGGTTATTAATTTGACAAGAAATAGTGTTCTTTTGAACTAAGAATGTACAGTATTTACCTTAATATATTTGAAGTTTATATTTTGGTTGCAGTTCATAGTCTAATTATTTGGCATAATGGGAAGAAAAAAGATATTGGTTTGATGATCAGAATTTTTTTGCTACACAATAATCTAGAAATGTTTAATACTTGGGGAGTTATTTTATTCCACATTATGAACTAACTTTATGAATGACATTAATGCCAAGTTGATAGAATAATTTAAAAATGGTGCCTAGTTTGTAGTTCCAAGCAAGTGAGAAAAATTAGTGATACCTGAGTCATCTGTTTGACCTTTGATTTGAGAGTAGTGATATCATTTTTTAGGAAGGTGCGGTGTGGGGAATGTTTCTGAGGGCTGTACTGTTTCTAGGTTTTCTCCTCAAATGTTTTTTCTTTTCGTTTTTTTTCTTTCTGGTCTATGAGACTCTACAGTGACTGTTTCCTCCCTGT